TTTGGCTTGGACAAATGTGCCACACTTACTATCAAACAAGGAAAAATAGTGAAAACTGAAGGAATCAAGATGCCCCACGAAAATAACATTAAGAGTCTGGATGAGGAAGAGTACTACAAATACTTGGGTATCCTTCAAGCTGACAACATCAAGCACACTGAAGTCAAGAAAAAGATTAGAGGTGAATACATCAAGAGAGTGAAGAAGATCTTAAATCCAAACTCAATGGAGGAAATACCATAAAGGCAATCAACACCTGGGCAATCCCAGTCATTAGGTACACAGCTGGAATAGTGGACTGGACTCAAGCAGAACTAAAAGCAATGGATAGGCAGACCAGAAAAATAATGACAATGAATCATGCCCTTCATCCACGCAGTGACATTGATAGACTTTATCTACCAAGGCAAATAGGTGGGCGTGGAATGCTACAAGTACATCAGATGGTTGAAGAAGAAAAAATGGCTTTGGAAGAATATCTGAAGAACAATGATGAAGATGCACTGAAATTAGTATATCAGGAAGGCTTACTGACTACTGGAGAGACCAAACTGGCCTACAAGAAAGACCAAATGAAGAACAGAATAGAGGCATGGGAAGACAAAGCACTACATGGCCAATACATAAAAAAATAGCTGGGAAAGCAGATAATAATAAAACCTGGCAATGGCTAAGAGCAGGAAAATTGAAGAAAGAGACCGAGGGACTAATTCTGGCTGCACAAGACCAAGCCTTAAGGACAAATGCATACAAAGTCAAAATTGAGAAGACAGCAACAGACAGTAAGTGCCGCCTATGCAAAGAAGCTGAAGAAACAGTGGACCACTTGGTAAGCTGTTGCAAGAAGATTGCACAGACTGATTACAAGCAGCGGCATGACAAAGTAGCAACAATGGTGCATTGGAAGATCTGCAAAAAATATCATTTGCCTGTAAGCAAAAACTGGTGGGATCATAAAATAGAGAAAGTCATAGAAAATGATAAAATTAAACTGCTCTGGGACTTCAGAATTCAAACAGACAAGCACCTGCAACATAACACCCCAGACTTAACAATTGTCGATAAGAAAGACAAAAAAGTCTGGATAGTGGACGTGGCAGTGCCTGGAGACAGCAGAATAGAAGAGAAAGAACTGGAGAAGATAACAAAATACAAAGACCTACAAATAGAAATAGAAAGACTGTGGCAAAAGCAAGCAAGGGTAGTACCAATAGTCATAGGCGCCTTGGGTGCAATCCCAAAACAACTGGAGCACCACTTGAACACCATATGGCATTGACAAATTTGCCATTAGTCAATTGCAAAAGGCGGCCTTACTAGGACTGCTTCCATCCTGCGACGATACCTGTAATACCATCAAACATCCACATCTGCCTATCCCAGGTCCTGGGTAAGGACTCGATAGGTAGACAAAATGCCAAATCCAGTCTGAACATCTGGCTGACTGTGCGATGATGATAATAATAATTGAGGTAAACTCTTCGCAGAGACTATACTGGACAGTAGATGTTAGGGGACTGGTGGCTACCCATAAAAATATGGTGAGACGCAGAATGCCTTTACATTAGGAACTGGATATCTACAGATCAGGAGCTCCACAGCAAGACTGTAATACCATCTAAGGAAAACAATGCACGAATGAATTCTGGAAAGAACAACATCCAGAATCAGAAATAACAGAACAGAGACTCCAGATCAATGCCGATTTATAACAGAAATAAAGGAAACAGAATTGGACGAACTGCAAAGGTTTACCCAAGGCAAAGAAATCAAAGCCTTACCAGAAGTAATTCAGAATGTAGAGGCAAACCAGGGGGAGTTGGCAGTGAAGAATCTAGCAGAGATATACAACTGTTCTCATTTGGAAACCAGGCACCTCACCTCAGGAAGAACAAAACCCTCTAACTGAGAAATAAAAGAATTGAAACAAAGAATAATTGAGCATCTAGAACAGCACAAAAACAACAGAATAAGGCTGCCTGCATTGAAGCTTGTTCCAACAAAACAGCTAGCACAAGCATTAAAAGATGCAAATATGCAATATCAAGTATAAGCACCAATTCACTGCAAGAAACAAACCAACTAATGTAGCTGCAGTTATAACAGAATACCTGGGATGCAAAATACAGTATGGAAGGTTAGACTAGAAAATAAGATCAGCAAGTTAAGATCACATAAGCTAGAACATATGAAAGAAAAGAAGCTGAAGAACAAGAAGACCAAAGAATACCTAATCAAGCACTTAGAAACAGATCAAGGAAGCACTGGAAATAATAAAGCAACAAATAACAGCTATAGCCAGGTCAGTAGATATGAAGCTCATTGCAAACTATACAGACCTCCAATTTCAAGGAATCAGAAACGTTTCTACCATCCATCAATGGAAAACTGCAAGGATCAGTCAGTACCTACAAGAGAAACACTCTGGAAGCAGATATGGGATACCCAAAGAAATACAACAAGGAGTTAAAAGAGATGCAAATAAAACAGAAGTTGAAATGAAAGAACTAGATGGTAGAAAAAGAGCAAAGAAAAGAAAAATTGGTAGGTGAAGATGAACTATGGGTTTTGGTTGAAACATCTAACTGATTGCCAAGCATTCAACAGATACTACAAGGAGGAGAAATTGAAAAGTGGCTAACAACTGGGAAAACCTACCCCCCCTGAAAAACAAAGGGGGTAACTACAGGCCATTACCTGACCTGGTGTGGTAGCTGATGCAGTGCATCTAGTTGAAAACAATCTCTTTCCACCTGAGCAGAAAGGAAACCGCCCCAATAGCAGAGGAACAAAAGATCAACTCCTAATAGACAAAATGATCTTGGAAAACTGCAAGAGAAGGAAGACCAACCTGAATGTGGCATGGATTTACTACAAAAAGGCATTTGACTCTCTGCCACATGATTGGATAATAAAGTGCCTAGAAATAACAGGAGTCAGTAGAAACATCAGAAAATTTGTGCAAAGATCGATGGCACAATGGAAGACACAGTTGCAGATCAATGGTGAGAAGCTGGGAGAGGTTAATATCAAGAGAGGAATATTTCAAGGAGATTCAAATCACCATTACTATTTGTTATTGCACTGTTTCCTCTGTCAACAATACTGAATAACTCAGGACATGGCTATCAAACATCCAAAACATCTGCCAGACTATCCCACCTCCTTTATATGGATGATCTGAAGCTGTATGGAAAAACATCATCTGAAATAGAATCGCTGCTCAACACTGTCCGTATATATAGCCAAGATATTGTAATGGAGTTTGGCTTGGACAAATTTGCCACACTTACTATCAAACAAGGAAAAATAGTGAAAACTGAAGGAATCAAGATGCCCCACGAAAATAACATTAAGAGTCTGGATGAGGAAGAGTACTACAAATACTTGGGTATCCTTCAAGCTGACAACATCAAGCACACTGAAGTCAAGAAAAAGATTAGAGGTGAATACATCAAGAGAGTGAGAAGATCTTAAAATCCAAACTCAATGGAGGAAATACCATAAAGGCAATCAACACCTGGGCAATCCCAGTCATTAGGTACACAGCTGGAATAGTCGACTGGAGCAAGCTACACTAAGAAGAATGGATAGGCAACCAGAAAAATAATGACAATGAATCAGGCCCTTCATCCACGCAGTGACATTGATAGACTTTATCTACCAAGGCAAATAGGTGGGCGTGGAATGCTACAAGTACATCAGATGGTTTAAGAAGAAAAAATGGCTTTGGAAGAATATCTGAAGAAAAATGATGAAGATGCACTGAAATTAGTATATCAGGAAGGCTTACTAACTACTGGAGAGACCAAACTGGCCTTCAAGAAATACCAAATGAAGAACAGAATAGAGGCATGGGAAGACAAAGCACTACATGGCCAATACCAGCAGATAATAATAAAACCTGGCAATGGCTGTAAGACCGAGGGACTAATTCTGGCTGCACAATACCAAGCCTTAAGGACAAATGCATATAAAGTCAAAATTGAGAAGACAGCAACAGACAGTAAGTGCCGCCTATGCAAAGAAGCTGAAGAAACAGTGGACCAGAAGCTGTTGCAAGAAGATTGCACAGACTGACTTCTTGGATGATCTGCAAAAAATATCATTTGCCTCTAAGCAAAAACTGTGGGATCATAAAATAGAGAAAGTCATAGAAAATGATAAAATAAAGGAAAAGCACCTGCAATACAAGACTTAACATTGTTGCCTTGTTTAGATAACAAAATACAAAGACCTACAATGAAATATAAAGACTGCTGGCAAGCAGGGTAGTACCAATAGTAATAGGCTCCTTGGATGCAATCCAAAACAACTGGAGCACTGCTTGAACACCATTAACATTGACAAATTCGCTATTAGTCAATTGCAAAAGGCTAGAAATAAGGACCTGGTTTATTCTAGGGAACTGCTTCCTAATGAATTTTGAGAAAATCCTTAGGTCGACGATATCTGTAATACCATCAAACAGTGAGGGAATCCGAGACATCTGCCTATGCCCAGGTCCTGGAAACAGTGAAGGACATTCGATACCTGGGTGGCCAGCAAAGACAAAATGCCAAATCCAGTCTGCCCAGGAACACCCTTCTGGCTGACAGTGTGAGATGATACACCTAGGATAACTGCAATGCTGATGCGGCCCTCAATGAAATTGAGTTTGACACCCCTGACCTACTCTAATGAAGAGCTGTGGTGGTGCAATGGTTAGAATGCATATTGCAAGCTCACTCTGCAATCCACTGCCAGGAGTTCGATCCTGACCGGCTCAAGGTTGACTCAGCCTTCCATCCTTCCAAGGTCGATAAAATGAGGACCCAGATTTTTTTGGGGGGGGGGGCAATATGCTGACTCTAAACCGTTTAGAGAGGGCTGTAAAGCACTGTGAAGGGGTGTATAAGTCCAAGTGTTAGTGCTAACGGGCTGGTGGAGCACTGTTGAGAAATTGTGCTGCATCGTGGTTATTAACCCTAGTTGTGTATATATTTTTCTCCCAGAGAGCCAACCAAAACTTTTTAAAAAATGGAGGAAGAAGACTGGCCAGGACCCAGACAACCTGAGAAAAGTTTGGAAGAGGTAGGACGAGGCCATGATGTCACCTGTGCAGAGACCGTCATGAAGCCTCTGGCTAAGGCAATACCGTCACTTCAGAAACAGAAACTAGCAGATGGGCTCCAGCAGGGCTGGGAAGGCCAGTGGCCAGATTTCTTGACCTGCCCGCCGTTTCCCTATCCAAGATGGAAGAATCGACTCTCCAAGTCAAGGCCTGGCAGTCAAGAACGCCCATCCTCCTTGGAAGGACTAGATGAAGATGATCGCTGCCCTCGAACAGAATATGGTACTCAAACTGGGACGGGCTTATGTGAGGAGGCTCATAAGGCCCACGCGAACCTAAACTTTCCTCTGAAGGAGGAGATTCCGGAGGAAGACCTGATCCCTGATCCGGAGAGGCAGCGCAGACGCTTCAGACGGTTCTGCTACCAGCAGGCTGAAGGCCCTCGTGAGGCCGCTAGCCAACTCTCGGAGCTCTGCCACCGGTGGTTGAAACCAGAGGAACATACCAAGGAGCAGATCCTGGAGCTGCTGGTCCTGGAACAATTTGTGAGCATCCTCCCCGTGGAGATCCAGAGCTGGGTCCAGGAAAGCAGTCCCGGGACTTGTTCTGAAGCGGTGGCCCTGGCTGAGGACTTCTTAGCAAGACAACCGGAGGAACGCCAGCCGAGCTGTCCAGAGAGAGACCGAGGACGTGAAAGCCGCCGATCTCCTTGGAATGTTTGTGCGGGGACTGGATTTGTCGGATGGGAAGGGAACGGGGAGATCGCTTGGGTTCCAATTCTAGCTTATCTAATGCAGTGTTTCCCAAACTTGACAATTTTAAGGCATGAGGACTTCAACTCCCAGAATTCCACAGCCAGCAACGCTGGCTGTGGAATTCTGGGAGTTGAAGTCCACATGCCTTAAAATTGTCAAGTTTGGGAAACACTGATCTAATGGATGGGGAAAGACTTTTGGAGATCTGTTGCCAGACAGAGCAAGAAGGATTGGATTATTAGGCTGACGTAACATGAAGCAAGAGCTTAGAATAGCTTTCCCCTTTATAGGATGACCCCGGTATTGTTGCCAATTACAACGTTTGTTACAACAGAAGAGCAGACTTGTTAAACCCGTGGGAAACACCCAAGGTTGTGTCTGTGGCGATTCTCAGTCATCCAGGTCATAGTTAGCCCAAAGGCGCTTTTTCACGAGGCAACTGGACTTTCTTGTTTTTTCCTTTGAAGACGTTTCACTTCTCATCCAAGGAGCTTCTTCAGCCCACTGAAGAAGAGCTGAAGAAGCTTCTTGGATGAGAAGTGAAACGTCTTCAAAGAAAAACAAGGAAGTCCAATTGCCTCGTGAAAAAAGCACCTTTGGGATATTCATGGTTGTGTTTTAACGTAAAATAATTTTGAATACCACATGTCGTTTTTGTTCTATATTTTAGTACACGTGGCAATCCTTACGTCAATTTAAATCGGGGGAGTCTTCAAACTTGGCCCTTTTTTGACTTGTGGACTTCAACTCCCAGAATTCCTCAGCCAGGCATGCCTGGCTGAGGAATTCTAGGAGTTGAAGTCCACAAGTCAGAAAAGGGCCAAGTTTGAAGACCCCTGATTTAAATGTTCCCGTTGTGATGGGTTTGTGAGTTGTTACCCAAATAAAAACCCCTATTACCGAATTTAGGGTAATTTACCCAGGTTTGGGAAGCAGTGGCTTAAATGGAACATGTGGCTTTTTCACCAGAAACTCTGGCCTTCATCTTGATTGTGTCCTGTTTGAATCTTCATTCAGTTATCCTTACTTTGCTTTCAGATGCCGGGATCTTTGTGCAACATGCCTGCTACAAGCCCAGTCTCAGAGCAGTTGCTGTCTGATGAGACAGAGAAGGGGCCACTAGCCAGTGGTGGCAAAGAAAAGAATGACCAGGAAATTTTGTTAGGTAAGTTGGTACCACTATGTCTCTAATCCTAATAATCACCTTAGTGTTCCAACTGCCTTTTGTTATGTATCTAAGATTCTTGGGCCTGGCGTGATCCTGTACAGGTAAGAGAGAAGATGCTGTCCTTCTCCGGGATGGAAAAGGTGTTTCCCAATATCTTGGGAAAAATGGTGAAAGATGTGGCTGGATCTTGACATACTGTCTGAATCAGAAGAATGATGAAAAATTGTCACAGCCTGTCAGCCTTTCAAAGCAAGCCAGATCAGGAAACAAACTCCACAGGAACCATGGAACTTTACTGAGATAGACTAGAACCAGGGGTAGACAATCTTGGCTCTTTTATGACTCGTGGACTTCAACTCCCCCTGCTGGCTCAGGAATTCTGGGAGTTGAAGTCCACGAGTCATAAAAGAGTCAAGGTTGCCTACCCCTGGACTAGACTTTCACTCCTCTCTTCTACTCTAGTGCAGAGTTTCTCAATCTTGACAACTTGAAGATGTGTGGACCTCAGTTCCCAGAATTCCCCAGCCAATTATGCTTCCATCATTTAAGTTGAGTTAGAATGGAATGGAGTGGAGTGGTGTAGAGTAGAGTTGGAAGGGACCTTGGAGGTCTTCTAGTCCAGCCCCCTGCTCAAGCACGAGAACCTACCATCACAGACAGATGATTTTCCAGGCTCTTCTTGAAAATTTCCAGTGATGGAGTGCCCACAATTTCTGAGGTTGATTGTCCTATCAGGAATTTTCTCCTTAATTCCAGGTTGCTTCTCTCTTTGATCAGTTTCCAACTATTGTTTCTCGTCCTTCCCTCTGGTGCTCTGGTGAACAACCTGACCCCTTCTGCCTTGTGGCAGCTCCTCAGATACTGGAATACTGCTATCATGTCTCCCCTATTTCTTCTTATTTCAAAATCATCTCCATGACTCTCCATGGCCACTGAAATGGGCCTCACATGTAGTCCTCCCGAAGATACACATTTTCATGTGTTTGTTTGTGGGTACCCTTGAGTCAGTCTTGATACCAGCGACCAGCCTTGTAGTTTTCTTAGCAATATTTTCAAAGTGATGTACAATTGCCTCCTTTCCAGGGCTGAGAGAGAATGACTGGCACAAGGTCACCCACTGGCTTTGTGCCTAAAGTGAGACTTGAATTCTTGGTTTCCCGGTTTCTAACTGGTGCCTTTAACGCTCTTAAAATTTTACTCTGACATGTATTATAAACCCAAGAATCTTTTTGATAGACATAGAAGATTTTGAAGCTAAACTTGGCCTTCCAAAATTAGATTTCCCTTCTGCCACAAACTGTTACCCTTTTTATTATGGATAAAAATCAAAGCAGTGATTTTTGACAATACGTAATGGGAAAAGAACTGGGTGAATTTCCCCTTTCACTTTAATGAATCATGTGTTCCTAAACTTGATGAATTACACAGTCAGAGTTTTGAAACTGGCATCTTGTCTTCTTCCTTAATGAAGCATAAGATTACGGTTATACCCTAACTTGATAACGATGGATTTTCCATGCCATTGGATCGTGACTCATAAGTCTCTGTTGATCCCTGCAGGTAACAATGACATAGAGGCAAAAGAAGATGGAGTCCTTGAGCAGCAAACATCTTTGGCCAAAGGGACAATCTTCCCATTCCATGACGAGAAAGAAGCCGAGCCTGGAAATCAGCCGGAACTACAGAGCTTCAGAGAAGACCATCCAAAGAAGACCCCGCTTTGCCAAGAAGGTGATGGAAACGTTGTCAAAGAAAACCAAATCCAGACTAAATGCAACAGGAAATGTACAGAGTGCGGACACCTTTGTGAGGTTGATGACCTTCCTGCCAATCAGAAAATGGACCCGGAAGAATTTTACATCTGTCCTCAGTGTGGGAAGACCTTCAAGAACGGAGCGCCCCTAGCTTCCAACCAGGGAACTGCGACCAGGGCTAAACCCTATCCTTGTTCCGAGTGCAGCAAGAGCTTTGGCACCAAGGCAGCCCTCCTGAAGCACAAAGCCACTCACACGGGGGAGAAACCCTATGCCTGCTCCGAGTGCGGGAAGCGCTTCACGACCAGCTCCAACCTGATCTACCACAACATCGTCCACACGGGGGAGAAGCCCCACAAGTGTGCCGACTGCGGCAAAGGCTTCCACTGGAAGTCGTCCTTGATTACTCACGAGAGGACTCACACGGGGGAGAAGCCGTACGAGTGTCCCGAGTGCGGGAAGAGCTTTGGAAACAGCTCCCAGCTTCTGAGGCACAAGCGGGTGCACACGGGCGAGAAGCCGTACCACTGCTCCGAGTGCGGCCGGAGCTTCAACCAGATTGCCTCGCTCATCGCGCACAAGCGAATCCACACGGGGGAGAAGCCGTACGAATGCGCCGAATGCGGGAAGGGTTTTGGGACGCGGACCAACCTGATGATGCACCGGAGGGTCCACACGGGAGAGAGGCCGTATAAGTGCTCTTACTGTGGGCAGAGCTTCAGCCAGAGGACTCACCTCATCATCCACGAGAGGACCCACACGGGAGAAAAGCCCTACAGCTGCTCCGAGTGCGGGAAAAGCTTCAACGCCAAAGCGCCCCTGATCACCCACAAAAGGATCCACACGGGGGAGAACCTGTATCAGTGCTTCCAGTGCGGGAAAAGCTTCAGCACCAGCTCCAATCTCCTGAACCACAACATCATCCACACGGGGGAAAAACCCCACAAATGCTTGGACTGTGGCAAATGCTTCAATCGGAAATCCTCCCTGATCACTCACCAGAGGACCCACACCGGGGAGAAGCCCTATGCCTGCTTTGAGTGTGGGAAGCGTTTCATTTCGAGTTCGGATCTCACCAAGCACAAGAAAGTTCACCGGGGGAAGCGGGCAGCCTGTCCTGCCAGTTTAGTGTATAGCCCAACACTTGCAGGATCAGGGGATCCGAGACAACACCCTTGCTAAACTCTGACATTTGATTGGCCTCTATCCTATACAGGTAGTCCTCGACGCATGGCCCCGATTCAGTCCAAACTTTCTGTTGCTAAGCAAAGCAGTTAAGTGAATTTTGCCCCATTTTACCACCTTTCTTGCTACAGTTGTTAAGTGAATCACTGCAGTTGTTAAGTTAGTCACACGGCCCTTAAGTCAATCTGGTTTTCCCCCATTGACTTTGCTTGTCAAAAGGTAACAAAAGGGGAATCACATGACCCCTGGATACTGTAATCGTCATAACTACATAAATTACATGCCAGTTGTCTTGATCACGTAATCCTGGGGAATGCTGCAACGGTTGTAATTATAAAAAAAACAGTCATAAATCACTTTTTAGTACCGTTGTAACTTCCAACGGTCACTAAATGAACTGTTGTAAGCGGAGGACTACCTGTATAAAGTGGGTCCTGGAGACAATTTAAGTCAAAGTGTTAATAGATCTCCTAACCAGGTATTATTTCTTTGCAGTATTCCGTCTGGTATTTCACTTCCCTCTTGGGAGAAAATGTGGGTTGGATCTATTGAAACCCTTTTTACCTCCTGCATGGATTCTGCCTCCCAAACTTGCTGACGTTCTGATGTTTTTGGAAGGGGAGAATAAATGGGGGGGAGGGGATCACAACTCTTCTTTCCCATCCATTTCTTTCTTCTTTAGAAATGATCTTGGTGTCCGCAAGAAAACTGGAGATGCCGGGGGGGGGGGGGAATTGGCTGCCCTTCAGAAGCATCTCTGGAGATTCTCCAGTCATCCAGGTCATGGTTGTCCCCAAGGTGCTTTTGGGGCGACTGGACTTTCTTTGTTTTTCCTTGATGTTCTACATCTCATCCACTGAAGAACTGAAGAAGCAACATCAACATCATCATCATCATCATAAGTTGGAAGGGGCCTTGGAGGTCATCTAGTCCAACCCCTGCTCAGGCAGGAAACTCTATACCATTTCAGACAAATGGCTGTCCAGTCTCTTCTTAAAAACTTCCAGTGTTGGAGCATTCACCGCTTCTGGAGGCAGGCTGTTCCACTGGTTAATTGTTCTAACTGTCAGGAAGTTGCTCCTTAGTTCTAGGTTGCTTCTCTCCTTGATTAGTTTCCACCTGTTGCTTCTTGTCCTGCCTTCTGGCGCTCTGGAGAATAGCTTGACTCCCTCTTCTTTGTGGCAGCCCCTGAGATATTGGAACACTGCTATCATGTCCCCCCTTGTCCTTCTCTTCATTAAACTAGACCACAGGTCGGCAACCTCCGGCTCGAGCCTCATGCGGCTCTTTGAGCCTTCCCCTGTGGCTCCCAGCCTCCTCTGCCTTTGCAAGAGAGACAGAGACAGAGAGAGGCAATTGCACTTCCCTCTCTCTCTCTCTCTCTCTCTCTCTCTGTGTGTGTGTGTGTGTGTGTGTGTGTCTCTCTGTGTGTGTGGTACACTCACAGTGTTCTCAGAGGAGCTGAAAAGCTTACTGGGCGGAGCTCCTCCCTTTACTACGTCTCTGCAGGAAGCAGGAAGGGCAGGAGAGAGCTAGCTAGCCCAGCTAGGCTGACTCAGGAATTGAAGTCCATGAGTCATAAAAGAGACGAGGTTGCTTACCCCTGAGCTTGTTGGACAACAGCTTGAAGCTTGCCAGGTGAGCAGCAGATGGGGGGGGGGGAGAGAGAGAGAGGGAGGGAGAGAGAGAGGGAAGAGGAGTGGCAGACCAAGGGCAGATAGAGAGGGAGGGAGGGAGAGAGACAGAGAGAGAGAGACCCTTTTGACATCTAAAATGAAGATAATACTGCATATATCCTTTTTTTACCTGTGTGTGTATGTAATTTTATTCTCTTAAAGCATTCTCTTGGTGATCATTGTTTTAATAGTATGGATATTCCCAAGAGTGATATTTTTACTTTTATTTTTAGTGTGTGTGTGTGTGTGTGTGTGTGTGAGGTGATTCCTCGCTTGCCAGTTAGGTTCCCTCACCCCCCCCTCACCCCCAAGGCAATGTTTCCTAAAGAAAACAACCGTGGATTTTTTTTTTTTTATCTTCACCTTTTGTCTTTTTAGTGATTTTGTATAAAAAGAAAATAGCGGTGAGATGATGCAGATAGCACAGAAGAGGAACCACAAGCAGAGAGGAATTTAAAAGAGCCTTGGGGGCATGAGAGGGCAAGTTTGAAACTGTTTTCTACCATCTGTTCCTTGCCTTGCAATCTTCTCTCTTCCCAGCAGGTTTCCCCCCCCCCCATGCAGTAAAAATGAGTACCACAAAAGAACTGCAAATCATAAAAGAGGGGTTAAAGCAATGGTTCTCAACCTTTTTAATGCCGCGACTCCAACCGGTCGTAAGTCGAGGACTACCCACCGGTCGTAAGTTCAGGACTTTCCCTGCCCAGGAGCGCCGCGCATGTGTGGTGCTGCCCCTGCGCCAGCTGAGGCATAGCTGGCAAGCGGCAGTGACGGCGCAGGGCGACCATCGGCTGGGTCACCAGCTGGCCCAGCCCAAGGGAGGTAAGGCACCCGCTGGGCCCCACGCGTGCCAGCAACCCTCCCTGCACCCGCCGGCCTCCCACCTCCCACCCCTGGCCCTCTTTTACTTACATTTTTAGTAGTTGCTCAGCAGGGAGGGGTGGAAACTTCCAGACAGCTCACCTTCGCTGCAGACAAGCCAGTTTGAAGGAAGAAGTTCCAAAGCTTCCCGCCTTTTCGCAAGAGTGGTTTTAGGGGAGATCAAAACCTGTCTAAATCTACAATTGTATGAACGGGTTCTCGTGGCTCTAGAGCAGTGGTTCTCAAACTTTTTAATGCCGCGACCCCCAACCGGTCGTAACTCGGACTATTCAACCGGTCATAAGTTGAGGACTACTCAATTGGTGCAGCACCGTTTGCAGAATGGGACTTTTGGCGGGCTCAGCAGGGCAGAGACAGTCTGGACAATTCCTATTGGCTTTTGAAAGCCAATAGAATTAGACTCTATTCAAGAGAGTCTATTCTATTGGCTTTCAAAAGCCAATAGAATAAAAGGGAGTAGCACAGCTAAGGAAAAGGGGGAAAAAATGGCGGACTGCGTTGTTTGGCGACCCCCGTGAAATGGTCGTTTGACCCCTAATGGGGTCCCGACCCACAGGTTGAGAACCACTGGTTTAAAGCCACCTTCCCTCATCCAGAGTTCTTGTCAGACCTGGGCCAGACAAGAAACACTCTGGATTCCATTTGTAATGAAAATGTTACTTTTACTAATTACAGTGAGCAAAGCCAGGATTAAGAGTCTGAGTGCAAAGATCCCCAACTTAGGTTTCCCTTCCCTGGTCCACCCCTATTATCTCCCCCTTGTCCGTTCACATTCAGACAAGACGTTTTGGTAACAGTCCCTGGTGTAGTTTGGTTAGATAGATGGATGTTGTGTTTCATTCCCAGGACCACGGCCTTCAGATATCTCCACAACTATCCCTTTTTGTTTCCCATGTCTTCCTTTCAGGTTCCCCTCTATCTCACCCCCCCCCCAGCTTCCCTCCCCCTATAACGTATGGCAGATTGACATCAATCAAAGCATAGAATTGAGCAAAGGAGGGCAGCTCTGACAGTTCTCCAGATATGGTGGCCACCAATTCTCATAATAGCTTAGCCAGCATAGCCACTGCTTTAAACACCTGGCTTGTCTTACAACAGTGATGGCGAACCTTTTAGAGACCGAGTGCCCCAAAACTGCCCCCACCCCCACTCCACCCACTGCAGATCACCCAGGCAGCTCAGCTCAGCCCTCTGTCCACGCCCTGCAGCATCAACTGCGGGATGGGGCATGAGGGCAGTCTTGTCTATGCTGCCTGGCTGCGCTGCTGCATGTGGGCCACGCTCAGGGACAACTCTCCTCCAGGGGGGGCTGCTGGTAAGGAGGGGGTCATGGGGGGCAGGCGAGGCTGGGGCAACGGCATGTGTGCCCACAGAGAGAGCTCCGAGTGCTGCCTTTGGCACGCGTGCCATAGGTTCGCCACCACTGTCTTAAAAGATGGACAACCTACTTACCACGTCCTGTAAATACTTTTCTTATGAAGGGGCAAATCTATATTTCAAGGGGAGGCTTAAAACCATTATAATGAATTTCAAGGCTGGACTTGAAACCTTTCTTCCCGTCTCTGCTTCACTGGGATCAGAAAGCTGCCTTGGGCCTCAAAAGGCAATGCTAGGGAATGAATCCTGCATAGAAAACCTCGAACAGTGGATTTGAGCTGGGCAAATTGTCTCTGTTTCACAGCTATATTGGGATAAATCAGGGCTCTTCAAACTTGGCCTTTTTATGACTTGTGGACTTCAACTCCCAGAATTCCTCAGCCAGGCACGCTGGCTGAGGAATTCTGGGATTTGAAGTCCACAAGTCATAAAAGGGCCAAGTTTGAAAAGCTCCTGGGATAAATGAAAGGGTGCAGATTTTCACTCCTAGAATCCCCTCAGCCAGCAAATAGCTCAGCAATAGACAAGAGTAAAAATGAAAACATTAAATCAATCATCCAAATCAGTGTTTCAGTAGAAGAGAATATCTGCAGCTCAGGGTTCGGTGGTGGAGTCCTTGGTGCTCTCCGAGCTTGCTGGTTTTCACGCAGACATTTCATTCCCCAATTAGGTTACATCATTGCTTTCTACCAAGGATAAAAACACACACTCCACTAACACCAGCAGAACAAAGATTCTGTATGTAACTTGAACAGACCCCACCCTACTTCACACTGATGATGTTACCTAATTTGATAATGAGATGTCTGCAAGCAAACAACCAACTCAGAAAGCAGCAAGGACTCCACAGATCAACGTTTCTCAACTTTAGCAAGGCTGGCTAGGGACTTCTGGGAGTTGATGTCTACACATCTTAAAGTTGCCAAGGTTGAGAAACATTGGTCTAAAGCAGGGCTAGGCAACCTTGGCTCTTTTATGACTCGTGGACTTCAACTCCCAGAATTCCTGAGCCAGCATGGCTCAGCTTGGAAACCTCTCCCTTTCCCCTCAGCATGGC